AGCTAGGTTAAGCTATAGTACCTACTAGACTATAGAGTACTATATATTTCTAAACTATCTATTAGCTTTACCCCTGCCCTAGGGTATATAAAAATTATAAATATAGGCCTTCTCTATAATAATCTTCTAAATTATTAGTCCTTACTTATTAGTTTTAGGCTTACTCTAATACTTAAATATCCTATCTAAGTAAAACACCCTAGTGTAATTAAATATATTAAATAGACCTATATCTAGAAGGCCTAATATTTATATAATCTAATCTCTAGTAATAATTACTAGGTTAAACTTAAAGTTATAAATAGTAGGCATTCTAAATACTTCCTTCTTAGTAGTAAGTCTAGTATTAATATCCTATATAAGCCTAGTTCTCCCTAAATTAGTGTATACTTTAGACTATTTAGAGGTATAGTTAGACTATGTTATTTTCTTTACTACTAGTTTATCTAAAACCACTAATATATTAGTATTATCTAATATAGGAGGCTTCTCTAGAATAGATATAAGGGGCTTATTAAACTATCCTAGTACTATAAATCTAGTTAACTCTTATAATCTAGGTTACTTATCCTTCTTATTATTAGGTATAATAATACTAAAGGTATCTAGCTTTATCTTAATTTTCTAAAGTTCCTTATCTATAAGCTTACTTTCTATAGTAGATTTATTAATTACCTTCTAGAAGTCTTTTAATATAATATAGATTCCCCTATAAGAGCCTTACTTAGAATTTAGGATTCTTTTATATATATATCTATTAGCTCTATTAATAGTAGTATTCTAGGTAAGAGTTTTAGCTAGTGTCTCTAAGCTCTATATATAATAATACCTAGAATTAATATAACCTAGCTATTCTCTTATATCTGCACCCTATTAGTCCTTAACTATTTTCTAATACTAGCTTATCTATCTTATAGTCTCTATAACTATTTTAGCTACTTCCTTTACTTCCTCCTATAGACTTTTATTAGTAGTATAGTACTTAATAAAATTCTTTACCTTACTAATAGTCTTCTATACCTCTCTAACTTTAAAATCTATAACTTCCTTCTACTATATTATCTATTATCTAAGATTATAATAGAGTTTATATTCTTCTTCTATTATCTTATATATTTTTAATTTATTATAGAATACCTTAATTACAGCATTAACTTCCTTAATCTAGTAGTAGATAAAGACCTAGCTAGATATTATAATTATTCTAGTATTAAGTTATATATATATAGTATATAATATAATAGTTTCTTCTACTATAGAGTCCTCCCTAGACTACTTAATAGATATTTAGTCCTGCACAGTGCCCTCTATATTAACTATATTATTCCTTATCTTTTTAGTAACTTTAGCTTACTTTACTTTTAAGGTGCGCCTCTTCTAAGAGATTTTAGTATTACTAGTATCTACTATTATAGATAAGATATAGCTACTAAATTTTAGTAATCTAGTATATAAGAAAAGTACTGTCTTCTATAAGGAAGATATAAGATTAAGGATAGTAGTAGATAAAAGTAAAAGTTATATAAGAGGTATCTTTAATATATTTTATTACTATTTTATCTAGTAGTAAATAAATAAATATAGTTATATAACCTTTACTAGTATTAGTAATAAAGGTTAGATATAGCTACCTATTAATTAATCTAAAGAATAGTATTATTAGTAGGGATAAAAGATTCTTCTTCTTATTATTACTTCTTCTTAATAATTATTTATTATTATTTAATAATATTATTATTTTATAATCTATCTTTCCCTTATATATATAAACTCATGTCTAGTAACTAGGGTAGATATAACTTATTAGGTAATTTTCTCTACTACCTTAGGTAGTAGGGTAGGCAGCCCTATATTCTTCTACTAAGGGTAGATAGTCTATATCTTTCTTTATCTCTTAGCTAGTTCTATATAGCCTTAGGATATTATAATAATTATTATACTGATATCTCTATAACTCTTTAACTATAGTAGTTATATATTTATAGTTAAGTAGTTAGGGCACCCCTTCTAGATCCTATAACTAAGTATTCTTCTATCTATATAGTTATAGCTAGCCTACTTAGTAAGTTAGATCTACTTCCCCTTACCTATCTCTATAGGTTTATCTAAAATCTAAAGAGTAGATTAGCTGTGCTATAGGTAGGAGTTATTAATAGAGTTATATCTAAACTAAATATCTATAAGAGTATCTATAGAATACTCTTAATTAATAGTAGTTAATATAGTAGTAATAATACCTTTATAATAGAACTAATTACTAAGTTAGGAGTATCTCCTAACCTAGTAGGTAATAATATCCCTATAGGTTATATACTACCTATATAACCCCTATAGTTCTCTATATATAGGCTTACTATATCTAATAACTACCTCCTCTCTTTATATACTGCATCCCTGTAGCTAGAAGCTATATTATAATATCTATTTAATCTATATAGACTATATATTCTTATTAGTTAAATTAAAATAGTTAATATTATTATTACTCTATAATTTTTATTATAGTAAGGTAAGGAAGTAATACACTAGCTAGTAATAATATCTATATACTACTTAGTACTATTATATAGTAGTATAATCTTATTATAGTAAATATATTAAATAGCTTTAGCTATAACTTACTTAGGTAATATAGTTACTATAGTAGCTTATTATCTTTATAGCTTTATAGGTCTCTTTCTTCTTATTCCCCTTCCCTCTCTAAAAAGTAAAAATAAGGGAATATTTAAATAATATAAATAAACTACTTCCTATACTACTTAAATTCTCTAGTCTATACTACTATTATTAAGTACTAGAGATATAATTCTTCCTACTAATATAAAGACTTAGTAATAGGAGGTTTCTGATAAGCTTACTAATATTAGAAGTAAAATAATTATTAGTCTAGTAGGTAATAGTTAGGTAGGTAATAATTAGGTAGATAATAGTAATAGTTAGGTAGATAATAATCTAGTAGATAATAGTTAGATAGATAATAATTAGATAGATAATAGTTAAGTAGGTAATAATTAAGTACTTAAGATAGATTATACTTTATAATTAGTATAGCTTATATTATTTCTCTATATTATTATATACCTTTTAAGCCTAACTATACTACCTTACTAACTATATAGAAGTTTATTTAGAATAGTGCTTTCTTCTAGATCTTAAAGTTATACTATTTACTAGTATTATTATAGTAAATAGTAGTATAAACTATACTAACTATACTACCTTAC